ACAATATCACACTCAAGCAGACCATATGACATTTTAGCTGAAATGTTCAAATTAGAACTATAAATTATTATATCCATATTACCCTGCCAACCACACTCAAGCAGGCCTTACTCCTGCCAGACCTTCTATTTAAACGAATCATGAGGCCCTGATCTTCCTGAAAGCAAGAAGTACACCTTTACATTCTTTAACATCCATCTCACTCTTAGGCACATGGTGAGTGCACAAAAAATGCTAGTGATATAAAGAGATTAAAGACTGGCAAACTCTGTCTCTAGACAAATTGAAACATTTACTATACTTCAGTCATGAATAACACAAAAGTGGGTATGTAGTCTATGAAACAGTATTGCATTATGGGGAGTATCATTCTTTTCCACGTGAGGCAGGAGTAAAAGAATTCAGCAACAATCATTGCAGGACAAGTGGCAATTAGTATTTGGAGGAAATACTTTGGAGGTGGGAAGAGTGGACAGACCCACAAAGGTGGCAGAATCCCATTCCTAAGAAAGGGCCCCATGCAGATCTTTATTCCTCGGCCTGATGACGGTGGCCAGGCACAGCTGAGCTAGCCAGCAGGAGAATGGGTGGGACTTGGGAAGGTCCTTTGAGTAAAACTCTCTTCTCTCATTCTGGTCTAATCTAATTCAAGAGGCCCAGATTGGTTGGGTAGGACAATACCACCCAGGCAAGAAGAGTCAAATACCCTCGGCAAATATTGGCCGTGCTCATTTACTCTTCATTGGTCCAGTACCTCAAAGGTGGGGGAGAGAATTCCAGGCCAGGAAATATAATTAGTCAGCCTGCTGGTTTGGGCTCTAATTTAATCTTTGCAGCTGTGCCAGGAGCCTGTATTAGCATGACACTGGGAGGCGGAGAATACAATTACTGAGCAATGAAGACGGGGAGGAGAAGTGGGATGGTGACTGGTTTGTGCCTGTGTTAGAGGCTGGGGTATGGGGGAAGCTGATGTCAATGGAGAGTGAGGATTCCCCTGGGAGAAGAAAATAGGAAAAAGGCTTCTGTCAATGGATGGAAGGTGACTTTAATTTGGCTTTTGAGAAATTATGTGTGTGGTGTGCAGAATGGGTTTGTGCGTGTATGTTGATGTGTTTGGGGAGAGAGGGCTTTGTGGCTAGGGGCTAGTCCACTCTGCATGACAAAGGTGAGACTGAGAGTTGATGGATGGGCCTTATTGGTTACTGTGGAGGGAAGGGTGAGGGGGTGTTGGGGCAGGTTATAGCTGAATTCTGGACAGATATTCTTAGATACTTTTTTAGTGGGTCTGTCTAAAAGGGGGGAGCAGAATAAGGTTTTTAAATTTGCACATTCATTATGTCCTTTTTGTCATAGGCAAAGAAATACAATTAAGAGGATACTTCATTTATACTCAAAAGCTACCAGTTACTAATTTTACTTCCAGGGGGGTTACTGTGCTGGACTCTGTGTTAAGCAGCTTATACTTCGTTGTCTTAAATAGTCTTTATGAATAGCTTAACAATTGAGGAAACTGAGGCTCATAGAGATTAAATACATGTCCCCAATCATATAGCTAATAAGTGTTCAAGGTATGATTTAAATCAGGCCTAACTCTAAACGCTATTAACCAGCAACCCAGAATAGGTACTACCCTCTCCATTTATATATGGAGGAAACTGAGACTATGCGTAGTGATATATTTGTATTAGCTCAAAGTGTGAGATAATATCACAACTGGAAATAGAACTTGAATCTCACACAATACTGCCATTCTGCATAGAGAGCACATAAGGGAAAAAAGAAAATGTATTTACCAGGAAAAAAACTGGACATCTTGAAAGAAACAGGAATAAAAACTAGTTTTATTCTCATTCAACCCAATGCTCTTCACTATAAGAAGCATGAGAATAACAGCTATTTTTCTTCACTTACTATGGTCTCAGTGACATAAGCTTTGTCCACACTCCCATGACAACACTTTGAGATGGGCACTATTATTATACCCTGTCATGTGAGAAGACTGAGACATCAAGGCTACGTAGCTGGCCCAAACTCAGACACCGGGTTAATGACAATGATTCCGATCCAGGCAGCCCACCTCTTGATCACTGTCTCTCTGTGAAGCACACTGCTCCTCAGGCAGCGCTGCATCTTTCCGGCCGGGTCCAAGATGGACCTGTGAGTTTTATCCACCCCATGAAGTGACATACACCTTCAAAGAGCTATAGAAATCTTTCTTTATTTCAAGCCTAACCCAGTCCCACTTAAATGTCAGTCTGTCACTTTGAGGTATTGGAGGACATATAACTATATAGTGGTGATCGGTTTCCTTTACTCTCAGAGACAACTTTCCCTGTGGCTTTTAACCTTTCCCCTCCTTTGCAAAATTATTTGTTCTCTGTCCTATCATAAGGGCATCTTGTTTTAGAAGGAAGACACAGAGAACAAGCCTGGTTCTTCCTCTTCTTTTGTACTTTGAGGTTTTGTTACTCCTTCAGCTCTTTTTCCCAGGCAAAGACCTCCCCCTGGGACCTCAAGAGCCACCCTGAATAAGAAAGGAAGGAAGCCAACTTTCTCCTCCCAAAGGAGGAATAGAGGGAAACTGTGCTCACAGAGCCTCTGGAAAATCGAGTGAGCTGGAGGAGCTGTCCCTCCCAGCCTGCCTAGCCCTGCTTGCTCAGCTGGCATATGCCACACCCATGAGTGGGTCTTCTCTAGGGTCTTTGCCAATCCTGGGCCCTGGCAAAAGGAGCCAAAAAGAGCACAGATGTGTCCTGCATCCTGGAGCCTACAGGCACCACTGGGTGGCTCCACAGCCAAGTCCAGGAAGCCAGAAGAGGCACCTTGACTTCACAGGTCCCCTACCCCTAGCCTCCTTCAACTCTAGCTTTTATTTCTTATGCCTTTTCCCTCACTCCCGCAAATCCTCCCCTACCTCCTCAGAAAAGTGCACATCCTAAAATTAAAGCTTTTTGATTGGAAATCCAAAAGTTTGATTTTACCACTAGTTGTATGAGAAATATCTTCATCTACAAAATGAGACAATATCTCCTCTATATTTCTAACAAAGTCATGAGAATGAGAGGAAAATGTATATTAACAATCTGGCAATGTCATTTACCGAGGCAATGACAAGGCTTCCTCTCAGTACTGTCATCATAATGAGTGGAGCTATAAAGCAGCAGACAAGATACACGTTTCAGAGTCAGAATCAGAGAGATCAGGAATGAAACGCTGGCTTTCTGCTGAGACTGCTCATTTTCCTAATCTGTATATTGGGAATGCTGATGCCTGCCTCAAAGGGTAGCTGTGGATTTAAGGGAGGGGATATATAATGGAATACCTGAAAGGGAGGTAGGTGGTTAATGAGCACTTAATACATATTAGTCTGTTCCCAGATTCTAATGCTCCGCAAATCAATCCAGAGCTGTAGACCCCTGGGCTTATGACTGTGCTGGTTGTGTCTTACACAGGATACCTGCCCAAAGGTGCAAATATAACTGGGGGAGACAGGGTGCACCCTGAGAATAGGCTGCAGTGGCATGGAAGAAGGGTGTCTGCTTCACCCTCCAATCTACCAAAATTGTTATGTGCTAGACTCAAGGGTAAAGACTTCCTGAAGTGAGTAGGGACTCCAGAGTTCCAGAGAGAAGGAGTTCAAGGTATAGGAGTTAGAGATAGGAACATCACACACACACACACACACACACACACACACACACACACACACACACACCCTCTTCCAGAGTGATATTGCTAAACATGTCTCTGAAAACTCCCTGCCTTACTCAATATAATTTTGATATATTTAATCACCATTAAAAAAATAAAATACTAAAACTGGTAGGTGACAGCTGAAAATTGGATAAAGAATAGGATATGTACATAGTTGTAAAATATTTAAAAACACTTATTTAAAAAGGAAAATGATAGGGAAGTGATTCAAGATGATGGAGGAGTAAGTGGAGGCTACACTAACTTCCTCCCAGGACCAATCTGGAACTACAGCTAAACTGTAAAGAAAGCATCCTGAATAACCAACTGAACACTAGCTGGAAAGAAGCCTTATAACCATGGACAGACAGAAGAAAATACTTCACCACAACAAGACCGGTAGGGAGTGCAGAGGAGGCACAAGAGGGCTGGCTGGGCCCTCACAGGTGGCAGCTGAAGTTCCGGAGGTATATTTCAGCAGCCAGGGGGTTCCCCATGAGAGGTGTGGGATCTAAACCCCAAGCTGGGCTCCCCAGTATAGAGCACCAGAGCCAGAAAGTAACCCAGATAACATCCAGAAAAGCAGCAGGGTTTCTGTCTGTCAGGAAGAGATGGGTAGAGATGCAGAGAGCCTCTTAAAGGGTCAACACACAAAATTTCATTTAAATCTGCTTACCCTGGGTTCTGGCACAGGGAGGGTAGAGTGGGCTAGAGATGCTTGAGGAGAGTCTGGTGTTGGTGGCTGTAGGGAGAACTGAAGGAACAGCTGCCAGGATCCCTGTGCTGAGTCATTCCCCATAATGTAGACACCATCTTTCTCAGGCAGAACACTCCTCTCTCAGTGGCATCAGCCTGAGGGGCAGCATAGCCCTGCCTGCAGGAGTTGCTCTGCCCCACCCTGTGGAGCTTAAACTGGGCTGCTGATTACAGCTTGATTTGTTTAGCAACTGATTAGTTTAACAGGTGAGGTGGAAAAATACAAAGAAGCAATCAAAATGGGAAGACATGCTATAATTAGAAAGAGCTTTTAATTGGAAATCCAAAAGTTTGGTTTTGCCACTAGTTGTGTGAGAAATATCTTCATCTATAAAATGAGACAATAACTGCCCTATACTTCTAACACAGTTGTGAGAATGAGAGGAAAATGTATATTAAGAATCTGGTAATGTCCTTTACCAAGGCAATGACAAGGCTTGCTCTCAGTTCTGTTATCATAGTGAGTGAAGCTATAAAGCAGCAGACAAGATACAGGTTTCAGAATCAGAATCAGACAGATCAGGAATGAAACTCTTCCTTTTGTGTGCCCCATGGATATCATCTATTTCAGCAAGCATGCTGAGGACTTCCACAAGCTGGGCTGTGAGGTGCTGGGGTTCTCTGTAGACTCACAGTTTACCCACCTGGCTTGGACTAACAACCCACATACGGAGAGAAGCTTGAGCCCTCTATACATCTCCCCGATGGCTGATATAATCAGAAGCTTATCCCGTGATTATGGCATGTTGAAGGAAGATGAGGGGATTGCCTACAGGGGTTTCTTTATCATTGATGGCAAAGGTGTCCCTCACCACATCACCATAAATGATTTGCCTGTGGAGTGCCCCGTGGATGAGGCTCTTTGGCTGCTCCAGGCCTTTTAGTCCACAGATGAGCATGGGGAAGTCTGTCCTGCTGGCTGGAAGCCAGACAGTGACACAATCAAGCCCAATGTGGATGACAGCAAGGAATACTTCTCCAAACACAACTAGGCTGACAAACAGATGCCAAGCTTGGGCTCTTGGACCCTACCTGGGTGCTCCATGTTGGCCCAGGAAGGGCCAGATCTCCCCCTTTATATTCCACAGTCTATGACCCTAAAGGGTTAGTCCCAGGTATTTTCATATTCCTAGCTGAGTGGTGAATGGTGACCCATCCCTGAAGCCACCCAGCCAGGCACAAGTCTAGAGGTGACCAATAAAGTATTAGGGACAGTTGTGGGGGTGGGGAGGAAGAGACTACAAATGAAAGAACAAAAGAACTCTCCAGAAGAAGAACTAGATGACATGGAGGCAAGAAATTTATCTGATAGAGAGTTTAGGGTAATGATTATAAGGTTACCCAACAGTGTGAAAAAGACATAGAAACCATAAAAAAGGACAAGTCAGAAATAAAGAATGCAATATCTGAAATGAATAATACACTGGAAGGAATAAAGAGTAGGTTAGATAAAGCAAAGAATCAAATCAGTGATTTGGAAGACAAGATAGAAAAAAGAAAAACCTAGGCAGAGCAGCAAAAAGGAAAAAAAAAATTAAATGAGGAGAACTTAAGAAACAAAATTTAAGGGCAACATGACATATAACCATATCTGTACCATGGGAATACCAGAAGAAGAAGAGGGTGAGCAGGAAATCAAGGACCTATTTGAAAAAAATAATGACCAGGAGAATCAAGATGGTGGAGAGGTGAGTGGATGTCATTCTGACCTTCTCCCAGGACCAACCTGGCATTACAACTAAATTGTGGAGAAATCACCTGGAATGAACTGAACAATAGTGAGAGAGGAGCCTTTTTACCTCAGATAGACAGAAGGATCAGCTTTAGCACAATCTAAGTGGTAAGGAGTGCAGTAGAGACTCAAGAAGGCAGGTGGGGCAACCATGGGTGGCAGCACCAGAAAGATATTGAAATAGACAATTGGATCCCCATGAGAACAGCGGAGTCTAAACCATGAGCGGGGATATCCAGCCTACAGCACCAGAGCCCAAAAAGTAAACAGGTAACAGCCAGCTGCAAAAAGCAGCAAGATTGGTCTCTGCCAGAGATGGGCAGTTGGAGATGAAAAGAACCATTTAAAGGGCCAACGCATAAATTTTTATTTACAGCCACCTACCCTGGGCTCTGGCAAAGGCAGGGACAGAGTGGGCTGGAGCAGCCTGAGGCGAGACTGGGGAAGGAGGTTTTGGGAAGAGAACTAAGAGAGTAGCTGGCAGGATCCCAGTGCTGACTCATCCCCAAGACAGCAGCAGCCATCTGGCTCAGGCAGACCACCCCCCTGAGTGGCACCAATGTGAGAGGACACAAACACCCCACCCTCAGGAGGGATTCTGCCCCGCCCTGTGGTGTCCCTAAGCCAGCCTGCTAGTGCAGAGTGACTAGATTAGAAGCTGAAGGAGGAATCAAGATGGCAGAGGAGTGAGTGGAAGTCATACTGACCTCTTCCCAGGACCAACTTGGAATTACAACTAAATTGTGGAGAAATCACCTGGAACAAACAACTGAACAATAGCGAGAAAGGAGCCTTGTAATCTTGGAGACAGAAGAATCGGCTTTAGTGCAATCTAGCTGGTAAGTACAGACCTGAGAAGTGGCCCAGGAGCAGAAGCACCAGGTGGATATTGAAACGACCAGCTGGATCCCCTAAGAAGAGTGAGGTCTAAACCAAAAGTGGGGATCTCTAGCCCACAGCACCAGAGCCCAAAAGGTACACAGAAAACAGACAGCTGCGAAAAGCAGCAGGGTTGCTCTCTGCCAGAGATAGGCAGCTGGAGACACAAAGAACTGTGGGCTAGAGACACCTGAGGAGAGGCTGGGGAAGGAGGCTTTGGGGAGAGAACTGAAAGAGTAGCTGGTGGGATCTCAGTGCTGACTCAGGCAGAGACCACGCCCACTGAGCAGCACCAGCATCAAAGGACCCAATAGCTCCGCTCCTACGTGGGATTCCACCCCATCCTGTGCTGTCTAAGCCACTTGCTGAGTGCAGAGTAGCAGCCACAGACAGTAAATCCCTGGCTAAAGGGGGCACAGAGACATCTGGAGACACTTGAGGAGAGACTGGGGATGGAGGCTTTGGAGAAAGAATGGAGAGGGTAGCTGGTGGGATCCCAATGTGGACTCCTCTCCAATACAGCAGCAGTGTGACTGGACCAATAGCCCTGCCCCCAGTAGGGACTCCGCCCAGCCCTGAGCTGTCTAAGGTGGCCTGCTGAGTGCAGAGTGAATAGATTAACAGCTGAAGGAGACAACCACACACAGATTCTTGGAAGTCTCGAACAGACCACCTAAGGTCAGACAGCATCAACATCTGACATCATCAGGGGCAGATCCAGAAAGAAAAAAAACAGCAATCTCTTACCATAGAAGTTCACACCACAAAGTCAGGAAATCAAGACAGACCAATTGAAGAAGCAGAAGCAAAAAAAGAAGAGTCTCATAAATAACAGGAAGGCAAAGAAACACCCCGCAATTAAAGAGAAAGGAGGAATCTCCACAAAGAGAACTAAATGAAATAGAGGCAAGTAAACTATCAGATATTGAGTTCAAAACAATGGTTCTAAGGAAGCTCAATGAGCTCAGTGAGCTCAGTCAGAATTACAAAAAATTACAAGGAAACTACGAGGAACTTACTGCAAACTATATCAGCATGAAAAAGGACATAGATACTATCAGTAAGAGACAAGAGGCAATGAAGAATACAATTTCTGAATTGAAGAACACAGTAGAAGGAATCAAAAACAAGCTAGATGAAGCAGAGGAATGAATCAGGAAGGTGAAGGATAAGGTAGAAAAAAGCTCCCAGAAAGAGCAAAAAAATGAAAAAAGACTCAGAAAGAAGGAAGAGACATTTAGGGAAATGCAGGACAACCTGAAATGTAATCATATATGTATAATAGGGATACCAGAAGGAGAGAAAGAGGAGGAAGGGATAGAGAACCTGTTTGAAAAAACAATGATGAAAAACTTCCCTCATTTGAGAAGAGATAAAGTGACACAAGTCAAGGAAGCACAGAGAGTCCCATTCCAGAGGAATCCAATGAGGCTCACTCCAAGACACATCATCATTAAAATGGCAAATATCAAAGACAGAGAATCTGAAAGGCAGCAAGGGAGAAACAGGTAGTAACATATCAGAGAGCCCTGGTACAGCTAGCAGCTGACTTCTCAACAGAAACACTGCAAGCCAGAAGGGAATGGCAAGAAATATTCCGAGTCATGAAAAGCAAAGGCCTGCAACCAAGACTGCTCTACCCAGCAAGGCTCTCAATTAAAAGGGAGGGCAAAATAAGGAGTTTTCCAGACAAAAGAAGACTAAAAGAACACACCTCCACCAAACCAGCATTGCAACATATGCTAAAGGGACTGCTTTAAGAAGATGAAGAAAAAGAGTCTCTGAATACCCCGTTCCTTTCACAGTCACCAATACTTGGTGTTACCAATATTTATAATTCTTATTAATCTGATTGTGACAATGGTGTGTTATTTTAATTGTTCCTTTATTATTTGTTGAAACTCAACCTCTTTTGTATATTTCTTGCCTATTTCTATTATTTTTAAAAAGCTTTAAATGAATTTTTGGTATTCTTTATCCATTTTTTGATTAAATGTTTGTAGAATTCCCCCCCCCCCAAAAAAACAAAAAAAACTATTAACCCTTTTTTGGGTGTGCTGCAAATACTTTCCTATTCTATTATTTGTCCTTTAACTTTTTTATATGTATATTACTATATAGTCTTAAATGTTTAATATAGTCATATTGTCAATATTTTACTTTATAGCTTCTGGCTTTGAATATTTTATTTCACGGTAAGGAAAATATTATTTTGTATTTTCTCCTAAAACTCCCAGATTTTACATATTGATTTTTAACTCACCTGAATATTTTTTGTATAATGCATGAAATAGGGCTCTATATTTGTTTTATTTCAAGTAATAATGATCTATGCACCTTAAATGTTAAATAAGGCTTATTTTCCCTATTGATTTGAAATATCAGTTTAATCATATATTACATCATTAGAAAGATATATACATTTGTTTCTAGAGTGCTCATTTTATTTCATTGATCTACTTGATTATTTCTGTGCAGGTTTCATGATTGCTGAAACTTTTATAACAGATTTAAATTCTTTAACATATTATAATGGGTCTTGAAATTTTAAAAAATTAATAAATAAAATATGCATTTTAAGAAAAAAGAAAAGAAGGAACTCCAACCTTTTGTGACAACATGTATGGAACTGAAGAATATTATGCTAAGTAAAATAAGCCAGTCAGTGAAAGACAAATACATATGATCTCACCTATAAGTGGAATCTACTCAACAAAATAAACTAATGAACAAAATAAACCACAGGCAAGGAAACATGGAGTAGACTGAAAGTGACCAGAGGGCATGGGGAAGGAGAACAATGGTGGAAAGGAGAAGGAACTAAACAAAGAACATGTTTTAATGACCCATGGACATGGACAATAGAATGGGAACTGACTGTGGGAAGGGGTGGAGTGGGATGGGTGAAGAGGGCAAAGGGGTAAAAATTGAGACAACAGTAATAGAATAAACATGATTTAAAAATAAAATTAATTTTAAAAAAATAAGGACCAAAAACTCCCCTAATCTGGTGAAGGAAAAAGACACACAAGTCCAAGTTCAGATAGTCCAAATGAGTTGGACCCAAGGAGGCCGACACACAAAAACACATTATAATTAAAATTACAAGGCTTAGCCCTGGCTGGTGTGGCTCAGTGGATTGAGTGGCGGCATGTGAACTGAAAGGTCACCAATTCAATTCCCAGTCAGGGCACATGCATGGATTACGGGCCAGGTCCCCAGTTGTGTGTGTGCAAGAGACAACCAATTGATGTATCTCTCACACGTCGATGT